GCTTCTCATGAGGTGGCCAAAGTATTGGAGCCTCAGCTTCAGGATTTGGCCTTCCAGTGAGCTCTCAGGGCTGATTTCCTTCAGAATGGATTACACTGTATTTGAGGGAAAGATGCACAGTCCTTACACTTCTAATTTAAACTGTTGACCGGCTCACATATTTGCATGGGAAGGTAGTCAAATGTAAAACCAAAGCACATTTCACTATCCAATATACAGTAGACACTTCTTATAATACTTTCATCACCACCCATTTTGGTGGAGTGAACTGGGTGATTGAAGCAATAGCCTTGATCACACACGAGGTTTGAAGGGGTTGCATATCAACTTGGACATAATTTTCCATTGGGTGCCCAGTGAAGGGACTTATTGATGACTGGTTGACAGTGTCAAGTGGGACCTGCAACAAAACGTTACAATGTGGAGAGCTTCTGTTCAGACTATGCCATTCCTTCCCTATTCCTTCCAGTGTCCAATCTCTTCTCCTGACAACCAGTCAACATTCCATGTCCAGTGAACATGGTTGGTCCTCATCATGCCGCTTAGAATTCTCTCTTGCCCTGAGCTATTTTTTCCTAGAGGTTATTTTGTACTTCTGAAAACTTTGGGAGTGCTCTGACTCTGCTGATACCTCTTTCTGTGTGTATAATGCTGCTTGAGCTATGTAAGGACCTGCAATCAGAAAGCTAAGTTTGCTATTAGTATTATTCCCCACTAGCTTTTTCCAGGGTCCAGAGTCATCAATTCATAGCAGCTAGCAGGTGGCAAAGAAAACAACTTAAACAAATAAAATAAGCACTGAAAATTCTGACATATTTACCTTTTCTGCTTTCCATGTCCCCTGGAACTCTGGAAATGCCACTGGAGAACTGGCATACTGTTGAAAAGTATTCCGTGTACCTGCCATACTCCAGAGCTGGGAAATAAGCAGATTTGCTTTTCTGCCTCTCTCTCTTTGTCCCCCTCCATTGAATTATGCCACAATGCTTGTGGCAGTAGTGGCGGGGAAGAGCTGCAGAGCTGCCCTCCTGACAATGAGATCGCTACAACTTGGTCAAGGCTGCATCAATGCACTGGTAGTTGGGATGCGAGAAGGCAATATTTTCTGTTCAGCCCTGTATTCATCACATGTGACACTGTTTCTTTTCTCCTGCTGATCATCTTTGTTATTAATCTTACGTTATTCACATAAATTGCGTTATTCCACCCTTTTAATTTCAATGCAATGCCAACACATTACAGTTGGAGGGGGGGCATAATAAATTATCTATCATTTGTGGACTGAAAGCAACAATAGCAGCAAATGCCAATAACATTCACCAGATTGATTCCTATTCTGGATATTTTGCCTCAGCCATGTCCAGGCAATGTACAGTGATGCTGGCATCAGGAGGGTGGCTCCATGGCTTTGTCCCACCATGTTTCTATCTGGTTGATCACATGACAGCAGAATAGTAAGTATGTTTGCTCAGAAGCAGATCTTTCACCTTGTATGTAGATTGTGCCTATAACTGCAACATTAATTAAATTATTTAGAGTACTCATAATGTATATGAGTATGTTGGTGTCCGGCACACAATCAAAATATCTCTGCTGTACAGAATTGGGTGTATGTGTTGCTGTTTCTAACCCCAAACCCAGGTAAAAATAAATTAGATGATGACACATAGGGCTTTTATCATGAAAAAGGGAAATCACTGCCAAGGAAAAAAAGAAATAACATTTTAATAAGAGTGAAAGGATTCCAAGATAAAAGCCAAATACTTGCCTCAGTAATAATGTCTTTCCACCTTCGCTGCATTTTCTTCACTTGGCACAAAGAATGCTTTTAAGAGGGTTTTTTTTAAAATGTAGCTAGCAAAATGGATTTTTCAATATGTCTTGATTCTCAAAGGTTTTAAGGATTTTGCTAACCTACGGCAAACTGTAATTTGTAGTCTTAGCAAATTTGGAGAGTGCTACTTTTTCATGGGGACATAAGGACTGGCTGGCTCCAGGACTAATGTGACCCATCTTTATCTCACTGATAATAGTTACTTAACACCAGGAGAGATGCTTTTTCATAGGTGCTGCATAAAACAAGAACAGGATGACTGGAGTTACTAAATGTGAGTGTCATAGTACTAAAGAAGGGGGAAGCTACTATAGCGTTCAAAACACACACGCACACTTGGATAAAATTGTTGATCTGATTCTGAGAAACCCCACAAAATTGGTGAATGTTATAAGGATGGCAGTATCTGTCAGTTTATGTTCTCTCAGCTTTTTATTTTTTCCAATCCTAAATTCATTTCTCCCAATTTCTGCAGCAATTTGTGATTTTTTTAAAAAATATATCCTCATGAAAATCTCCCAACATTTTTATGTGAATACCTCCTTATAAACACTCCCCCCATGCCATTTTGCTGCCACGGGCTCCTTAGGGAGGAAATATGAGATATAAAGTCAATAGATAAAATAATAATAATAATAATAATAATAATAATAATAATAATAATAATATACACATTTTCTTAATACCTAACTGAATGCATTTTTTATGTTATTTTCACTAATATATTAATTTTTAAGCACAGTTCCCCAGAATATATGCATTTTTGTGAATATTGCTTGGTTGAAGAACTGCAACACAAAATTCGGATACGTGGGAATGCTGAAAGATGGCTGTGTTTCATGCTACAACCCTTCCAAACATGTTTTTCTGCTGGATCAATATCAAACATAGCCCTGCGTATGTTCCATATGAGTTTGCCAAGAGATATAATTGGCTGCTTAAGTTGTATTAGGATTGTTATGTGCTGTTCAGGAGAGGAGGAACGAGTCTGGGTAAGAAGTTTTAGGAACACAGAATGCTGCCTTATACTGAATCACACCATTGTCTGATCTACCTCCAGAACTGAAATGGGATGGAGCAAGGCTACTTAACTCAGAATGAGACAACTAGATTGTGAAGAGGAGCAATCTGCTTGGGACCATGTGTCACTGGGCCTGAAAGTGCTGTATGGGCTGCCAGTGAGCTACTGGCTCCAATTCAAGATGTTAGTATTAGCTTACAAAGCTCTAAGCTTGGGACTGGGACTCAAGTCTCCAAAAGGGTTGATATCAACCATCTCAGGTCATGCATTTGGCAGGAGAGGCACTGCTGGCGGTGCCACTGCTAGGTGCTGTCACACTGACCTGTGACAAGACCTTCTCAGTAATGGTTTCCTGTTTGTGGAATATCCTCCCCACAGTTTAGGGATCAATCCCTCTTCATTGGGATCTCTGGGAATTTTAGCTCTGTGAGGGGAATAGAGGTCTCCTAACAACTCTCATCACCCTTAACAAACCACAGTTTCCTGGATTCTCTGGGAGAAGCCATGGCTGTTTGAAGTGGCATAATGTTGCAGATGGGGCCTTAGTTCAAGTTTTTGTCCATTACAGTTGTTGTCTGGCCCTAGGCCAGTATTTAAAGAATATAAACATATCATGTGCAAAAATCTTTTATCAAATTTTAGCAATTTTCCTAGCCGTTAAGGTGCACCTTTCTAATGGGATGTAGTAATTGTTGCAATTGGAGGAAATTTGCTTGCATTTAGATGGCTTACTCTGCATCAAATCAATTAAGCTGAAGTTGCAAGACAAATAAAAAGCAGCTATTGCGACAGCTATTATCTTTGGCCAATAAGACTATTATCTGCACAAATATATTTTTTAAACCCATTAATCTGTGACTATGTCACATTGAGATGATTGTGTCTTCAGCAAAGATCATTGCAGGGGTAGAAGAACAAAACTGGTAAATCCCAGAATAAAATCTTATCTCCAGGCAAAATTTACCCTAAGGGTATATAAAATGCACCCAACACAATAAAACAGTGTCAACCAATTAGAATATGTAGGTGAAGATTTTTCGCTATATGTGCGGTATTCTTCCTCGAGAAGTCTCTAGGCAAAATAGGCTGTTGATGGGAACAGTGTGAAAATGTAAGTACTATTTAAAGGCACAGGAGGAAATTGCTAACAATTCTGGCACTCTTTGGACTCTTAGGTTATTCTGATTAACTGTGTTACTCCACACAATAGTTTCCCTCCCATAATGGAAGCAGGGGGGAAGGCCATTGGTTTAACACAAGTGTGGAGAAACTTTGGCTCCAGATATTGCTGAACTGGGACGCGGGTGGCGCTGTGGGTTAAACCACAGAGCCTAGGACTTGCCGATCAGAAGGTTGGCGGTTCGAATCCCCGTGACGGGGTGAGCTCCCGTTGCTTGGTCCCTGCTCCTGCCAACCTAGCAGTTCGAAAGCACGCCAACGTGCAAGTAGATAAAAAGGTACCGCTCCGGCGGGAAGGTAAACGGTGTTTCTGTGTGCTGCACTGGTTCGCCAGAAGCAGCTTAGTCATGCTGGCCACATGACCCGGAAGCTGTACGCCGGCTCCCTCGGCCAATAAAGCGAGATGAGCGCTGCAACCCCAGAGTCGGCCACGACTGGACCTAATGGTCAGGGGTCCCTTTACCCTTTACCTTTACCTATTGCTGAACTACAACTTCAGTCATCCTTGCCCATTGGCCAAAGATTCCCCACTTTACATAGTTACTACGTGCTGCATGAAGGATCAGTCTTTGAACATTCAGCTTTATTGAATGTCCATGAATTCTGTTGTTATGAAAGAGGGAGAAAAGCGTTTCTTTCTCAATGCTGTATAATTTTATAAATTATCATGTAACTTCTTACTCTCAGTTCTTCTCAGATGCTTTAGCCTTTCCTCATTGAGGAATTGCTTGATCATTTTGGTTGCTCTTTTACGAACCCTTTCCAGCTCTACAATACCATTTTTGAGCGGAGGTGACCAGAACTATGCACATGAATTTGTACGATAGCATCATGATATTGGCAGTTTTATTTTCAGTTCCTTCAGTGGTGATCACTTGCATGAAATTTGTATAAATTTATAAACACAATTTGTATTGTACACATGCATGGGACTGAATGAAAAGGGCAATGTTGAACAGGGTTGCAGGTGATGGAGAAAGACCATAGTTCAGTGGAAGAGCATTTCCTTTGTATGGAAAAGGTCATAGGTTCAATCCCCAGCACCATCAGGTAGGGCTGGTAATCTCCTTTATCTGAAAACCTGGAAAGCTTCAGGCCATGTGGCCCCCAAAATGTTGCCCAGAAGGAAACGGGGCCTTGAGCTGAGAAAGAATGAATTGTCACACCCTAGTGTAGACAATGCTGAGCTTGTTCCTATGGCTCCTGGTTTCATGCTATCTGCCAATCATATGAGAGGGTAATGGGTAGGGAAAAAATCCAGAGCATTTTTGTGCCTCCTATTTTCCATAGAAACTTTGGCCACCTCATGAGAATCCTGAAGCTGAGGCTCCAATACTTTGGCCACCTTATGAGAAAAGACTCCCTGGAAAAGACCCTGATGTTGGGAAAGATGGAGGGCACAAGGAGAAGGGGACGACAGAGGACGAGATGGTTGGATAGTGTTCTCGAAGCTACCAGCATGAGTTTGACCAAACTGCGGGAGGCAGTGGAAGACAGAAGTGCCTGGCGTGCTTTGGTCCATGGGGTCACGAAGAGTTGGACATGACTAAATGACTAAGCAACAACAACACTTTCCATAGAATGAATGGTAAATCCCTTGTGTGTATTCAGGAACGCCTTCCTTCCTAGCCCTTTGTTTTGCAAGTGCACACTAAACGGAGCACCAAATTGTTGGAAAAAGGAATTATATGCTAACGCTGCTTGCTTTCTGCCAGCAGCTTTGTTGGAATGGCCTGCCATCAGGAGTATTTATAGCAAAGTATAAAACATATTAGTGACATCCTTTTTTAAAATTCGAAAGCTTTAGCTAATATTACTGTCTGCATTCATAAGTGAGCGCTCAGCGCCTAAAAGCCGGTCAATAAACATTTTAGTACTGGTCTATTCCAGTGATCTGAATTCAATAATGTTACCTTTCCAGGAGCTGCAAAATGGAAAGTGAAAGAATGATTTATGAAGCTTAGCTATGCATGGCCAGATAGGAAAAAGCTTTAACTGATGATTGCAGGATTCCCTTTAATGAAGTACAAGTTGCCAAGATAAGTTTAGGTAAATGAAGCCTCTGTCACAATACGTTATGAAGAAAAGAAATGACAGACACAGCAGAGCAGATGGAGGTTATTATCAGAGTGTGGTGTCAGGCAAGGTAGTCTAGGTAACTGTGCAAAGATGGAGCAGATGCATTAGAGTTATTATTGCAAACAATATCAGAATACCAACACACATTTGTGAAATCTGTTCAGATTAAGTCTAACAGCCTTCTGCATAAAGGTGTCATTTATCCCACATGGAGATCATTTCCCGGCGCCATTGGCTTGCTTCAAGAAAAAGTCCCATAAAAGCAAAACAAAAATACCACATTACCTTGTCTAGCAGTGTTGTTAGCTTTAGTCCCTTCTCCTTTGCTTAATTTTTTTTGCTCACTTGGATCAACCTAAAAAAACCCTCTGTTTATATACATAATACCATCTCCTCTGCCAAGCTGGTTCTAGCTCAGTTGGTTAGAGCATGGTGCTGATAATACAAGTTTGATTCCTGTTTGGGACAGCTGCATACAGTGGTACCTCAGGTTATAGATGCTTCAGGTTACAGACGCTTCAGGTTACAGACTCTGCTAACCCAGAAATAGTACCTTGGGTTAAGAACTTTGCTTCAGGATGAGAACAGAAATCGTGCTCCGGTGGTGCAGCAGCAGCAGCAGGCCCCATTTGCTAAAGTGGTACCTCAGGTTAAGAACAGTTTCAGGTTAAGAACGGAGCTCCAGAACGAATTAAGTTCTTAATCCGAGGTACCACTGTATTTCTGCATTTCAGGGGGTTGGACTAGTTCAGGCTTCCTCAATCTCTTTTTTTAAAAAAATGATATTTATTGAGAATTTAAAATTACAGAAAGTAAAAGGAAAAAGCAAGAAAAAATAAAAGAAAAAAGTATACAAAAAAGAGATTAAACAATATAAGTCAATAAAAACAAAAGTCAAAAAAAGAAGAAAAACAAAACACACAATACATCAGATTAAAAAAATAAATAAACAAAAAATTTAAAAGCAAATCCAATATTCCCAAATCCTTATCTTTCATTAACTTGTTTCATCGACCTCCTCACACCTCCCTTTTTTGTATTCTAGTTATTAATTATCTCAGCAAATCCTTTCCATCTTTCACAATATTCTGTCCTTAAATTACCTTAATCTATTTTAACCTTATCTTACCATAAAAAACCCTAAAATTTAAAACTTAAATCTTATTTATACCTAATTCTTTAACAAAACATATTTATACATAATTCTTTTTAACATTTCTACTAAAGCCAAATAGTTTCATTCCAACATTTTTCTAATACTCATTAATTTTACAATAATTTTCTAAATGAATTTTTAAAACTTTCTTCCAATCTTCATCCGTTGTCTCTTCTTCCTGGTCTCGGGTTTTGTCAGTCCTTTCTGTTCCATCTAGTCCATCAACCTGGTGACCTTCTATCCTAGGCTCTTAAGTCCTTTCCATGTCCCTTCTGCAGGTCTTCTTCATGTTTATACCTGCACTTTACTTTATCTTCTGCTGATCTTATTCTTAATTTCCTTCCTTTCTCTCGGGGAGACTCCAACTTGACAATATCTTTATCCCTTCTTGACAAGTCAGCCCATTCTCCATAGTCGACACTGAAATCCAAAAGATATTTAAAGGCATGTTTCAAAGTCCCTCCAAAATTGAGGGCCCCCACAACTCCGAACTCCCCCTGGCCCAAAGCCAGATCCGAAAAGTCAAAACATCCCTGCATAGGGGGGGTCTATCCAACTTCCCATCTCCAGACCAAACAGTACTCCATCTCTCCAAATCTGACTTTCTCCAGGTTCAGTTGTCAAAGACAGCAGGCTTCCTCAATCTCGGCCCTCCAGATGTTTTTGGCCTACAACTCCCATGATCCCTAGCTAGCAGGAGCAGTGGTCAAGGATGATGGGAACTGTAGTCTTAAAACATCTGGAGGGCCAAGGTTGAGGAAGTCTGGACTAGTTGATCCTCAGGGTCCCTTCCAATTACATTTCTATAGTTTTATGATTAAAATAAAGCACGCTTCAGGCTGAGCTGAAGTGGACATCCTGAGGTCACACACCCCTGTTAGCAGGCCATAAAACAAGCCCATACTTTTGGGAGGAGAATGGTTGTAGCTAATCTGTGGTAGACAGCAAGTGGTGGAGCCATAGACAGGAAAGTACCTCAGTTGCCTTGGCTTCAGGAAACCCACCAGAGTTGGAGTTGCAAACAGGTATGTGACTTCAATAACCATTTAATGAAGCAGTGGCCATGGCTAAAATTCTAGTTGCCCTCACTCTGAATTGACTCCACTGACAGTAACAATGTCACTGCTGGTTAATGATGAATTCAGTGGGCTTTATATCATTGTAACATAATGTTGTTCACAATGTGATTCCTAATTGGCTGAGCTCATGTTATGAGAAAGAATCATCTCTGTGTGTAACCAATAAAAGTAATTTTAAAAATTGTGTTTTTTTGTTTTTGGCTGCCCTGGACTCTTTTGGGAGGCAGGACGGCATATAAAGCTAGTAAGTAAATACATAAATATTTAGGCAATTGCTGCTAGGGTAGCAACCAGGGCTAGCAGTTGCTGTGCTATAAATGTCAATATACCTACCTACTTACCTTTAATATACAAGGCAAACCTTATTCTTCACCCCCTGCCATGCCTCTGAAGGACTGTGATACCTTCATTTTGCTTTTGTTGATTTGCCATGCTTGTGTTAACAACTTAAGATATATGCAAACAGAGTGGGCTCCCACTTGGATGGCAAATTTAAACCCCTTCCTCTTTGTGACATTTTAATAATAGTTTAATCAACTGTGCCTTTTTCTCCCAGCAAGACTCTTTCTCCTTCTGTTGGAAGGGGGATAGCTTCTGAGACAGCCATAATTCTATGAAAAGTAGTATTTACTAGTTACATTTGGAAAGCATAATGTCATCTTTCAGTAATGTTACTGCTGCATAACAGAGCAGGCTTCACATAAAATCTGGGATTCAAGATATGAATATTCCCCACATTTGAATTTTGTCCAGATTCTATAGAAGCAGTTAATACTCTAAAACATGAAGGAGGCAAATGAATTTCCACATCAGTTGGCTCACACAATAGGAGAGTGTGTGTTTTTCTTCCTGAGACTAGTTAGGAATAAATTTGCTTTTTAGGCTTTTAAATAAATCAGGGCAAGATATCTGTGGTTGCAAGGAAAATTAAAGCTATTATTAACAAGCAACAGAAAGCTTTGGTTTAGAAGTGTTTTACGGAGGATGTAGAGACATAGGAAGAAACCACAACTGAATGGATTCTAGATAGAATTTGTGTTTCTTTTGGTACAAAAGTGAAATGGGTATCCAATGATCATGAGATAAGTTTGATACCTTCTGCTGCCATAAGCAATACTTATTTATTTTTTTTGGAGGGGACAAGATGCTTATCATTTGAATCAAATTGCTGCCTTGTACAGCTCACAGTGCAGAGAGAAAATTGATCCAGCCGATATTCTAAAAAACCTGCTGCTCTCACTTTCAGAATGGAGTGAGTGTGAATAACACAGGCATAGCATAGAAGAAAGTCCCAAAGAACAGGCCGCTACAATACATTGGAATATTGGTTGAAGGATTGGATGAGTGTTCATCCTGTCACAAACAATGATAGACACAACCTACAAATGGAACCAGATAATTGTTAAAAGCCTAAGGGCTCAATCCCAAATGCCCTGGCAAGGCATCCCCAGTGGTCATGGTATTTTGCAGATCTATCTCTCTGCAGGTAGAGAGGGAGATTTGCCCTCAGAAGCTCCCTCCAGCAACAGTGAAAAGGAACATAAACAGAGCTTCCTGGGCCAATGACCCATCCAGTCCAGCATTCTCTTCTCACAGTGGCCAACCAGATGCCTGTGGGAGGCCTGTAATCGGGACAATAATATTTGTTCTTCTGGACCACTGGAATATTATGCTATTATCAACATTAATCATGAGCAGAACCATCCAGGTTTCATTCCTTACCATTGGCAGTCAAGAGTGAACCCCAGTTAGTATGAAAGGTTACAAATGCCAAGGTTCCTGGTTTTGCAGAGTTTGGAAAGGCACACATTACAATGGAATTGCAAATGTACATCCAGATCCTCATTGGCTATATTCTTGAAGCCTGTCTGCTTTCTGATTCCCTTGCTGGCTTAGGGTACGTACAGATTAAATTGAAGATTCAAAGCCCTTCATGATAAAGGAGTTAAGATACCTGCAAATAAATCCATGCACAAAAAAAGCATAAGTATGGAAAGTTAAGGCACCTGCTTTAACTTTTCATATCATGTAAGCAGGAAACAGGCTGCAGGCTCATAGATGATGCTCACTTGCAAGCTAACTTCCATGGATCTGCACTTTCCCCTGCTCTTTGAGTTTCATTCACCTTCTTCTGCAGGCATATCTGCGTTTCTATGCAAAGCACCCTCTCATGCAACTTGCTATTTATTTATAGACGAGATAACAGAGACTTTCAAAAGTTTTTCAGAACCTTGCTTCTCTGTCTACACTTTAATTTCTGATTAGTCTTAGAGGCATGGTTCTTCTAGATCTCCAGTTTTGAAGTCTATAGCATTTAATCTGTGTTAGGCTTTGATCTGGCGCTATACGTTTACAGTTAGAATTTTAATCCGTTCATTGTGAACACCCCAAAAATATGACAGTTAGCCCTGAGTATTGTTAAATCCCACTTACCTTGGTTTGCCCATGCAGTCTTTTGGGCATAATTTAAACGTAAGAATTTGAAAGAGAACTTATGAGGGGGAATTGAGGGTGTCAGGCTCTTGAAGATTTAGTTGATAGTGGATATTTCTCCCTCTCTCTTTCAGACTTTCTGAAGCAGCGGAAGAATTAGTTCAGTGTTGTGAGACTTTGATGTGGAAAGCTAAAGATGAATGGACAATCATACTAAGCCAATGGTGGCAAAATCATTCATTATTTTGTTACGTTTCTTTGGAGTGCTGCCCTTTTTAAAGAGCAGGCTGTTTTGAAGGATGCCAGGACTAGCATCCCAAAACTGAAACGATCTGCTTGCATATAGCATTACTAAAAGCTGCTTTCCCTTCCATCATAGTGAAGAAGAGTCTATAAAAATGCCCATAGTAAAGGTAAAGGCACCCCTGACCATTAGGTCCAGTCGTGGCCAACTCTGGGGTTGCGGCGCTCATCTCGCTTTACTGGCCAAGGGAGCCAGCATACAGCTTCCAGGTCATGTGGCCAGCATGACTAAGCCACTTCTGGCGAACCAGAGCAGTGCACGGAAATGCCATTTACCTTCCCACCAGAGTGGTACCTATTTATCTACTTGCACCGCATGCTTTCAAACTGCTAGGTTGGCAGGAGCAGGGACCAAACAACTGGAGCTCACCCCGTCGCAGGAATTCGAATCGCCGACCTTCTGATTGGCAAGCCCTAGGCTCTGTGGTTTAACCCACAGCGCCACCCGCGTCCCAAAAACGCCCATAAGTGACGTGAAATTATGTGTAGGAGTGTACATCTAGTCCTGGGAAAAGGGGATCTCCACCTTATTAGAACTGTTATTGCTATTTGTTGCTGCTGCTGTTATTGGTTTCTATTCACTTCCCAGTAAAGTAAGGTACCATATTTTTCTGTGTATAAGACGCCCCCATGTATAAGACTAAATTTAAATAAAATGAGGGGAGATGGCCCAAAAGTTGTTGAGCTTTTTTTAGGGGGAATTGCATGTGCCATGTGCGCCATCACCCCATCAGGGGCGGTTGCTGGGGGTTGGCAAAGTAGGCAGCCGCTCCCCCACACCACTGTGGACGGGAAGCTCCCTAGAGCATGGGCTGCCTACCAGATGACTGGCGGCTCGCAGCTCCCCACCCCACGCCACTATCCATGTATAGGATGACCTCTTTTTTTTTACATGATTTTTGAGTCAAAAAATCTCGTCTAATACAGGGAAAAATATGGTACTCTGCTCAAGGCAAAGGTAAGTACTGGGAGGAGGAGGAGGAGGGTTTGGATTTGATATCCCGCTTTATCACTACCCGAAGGAGTCTCAAAGCGGCTAACATTCTCCTTTCCCTTCCTCCCCCACAACAAACACTCTGTGAGCTGAGTGGGGCTAAGAGACTTCAAAGAAGTGTGACTAGCCCAAGGTCACCCAGCAGCTGCATGTGGAGGAGTGAAGACGCGAACCCGGTTCCCCAGATTATGAGTCTATCGCTCTTAACCACTGCACCACACTGGCTATCACTGGGAGTCAACGAGGGGCAGGAAGAGTCAAATGGCACCTTGCATTCAACAATTCACTTTATGGAAATGAAGAAAGCAGTCAGGCTATGGCCAAAGATGGAAGTATTTAGCGTGGGAATGCTGGGTGCAAATGTGAGAAAGAAACTGCAAAGAAGTTCCTTAAAGCTGTGCCACCCCATGTCTTTTCCTTCCCCAAACATTGCATAGGCCAGCCATTTAGACTCAGCTCCTTAATGTTTGTGTCTGGGATGGGGGGGGTGGGGGAGTGGAAATTAGCTCAAATGGTGAGCTGTTCCGAAATGCTTTTCTTTTAAGCTTCTTTAGTTTCTTATATCCTAAGGTGGAAGATTATAACCTTTTGTTCTGGTACACTGGAATTAAGTCTTCTCCAAGATTATTCAAGGATAAACTAATCTTGTTTGAAAAGCCTTAGGATATATCTTCCCACATGTTGCATCTTAAGCCCACTGATACAGCATCAATTTGTTTAGTTCCTATGCGTGCTCACACACACACAAACACACACACACACACAGAGAGAGAGAGAGAGAGAGAGAGAGAGAGAGAGATTTGGCTTTGCATCAGCATTACTGATATTCCTCAGTGCAACAAATTTTTCAGCCTTAAATATGGAACAAATTCCTGCTGAGTGCATTTGAGAAATAGCACAAGCTGAAAAGGAAAGTAGCATAGAAAAATAAAAGAAATTATATTAAACCATGGTCAGGTGGCAGTACTCCATGTAGCGCAGCGGGGGGGGGGGGTTAAATGTGGGTCTCTTTAAACCTTATCTTACACTAACTGTATGGATTCCATTTTTCAGTTGTTATCTCTCTAGCAAGCTTAAATGACCCAATCTTAAGGTGATGGTGGGGCATGTGTTTGAATGAGTCTGACAAGGAATGTGTATCTTCCTGTGAGGGGAAGTCATTTCTGGGGGAAACCAACTAACATGGTTTGGTAAATCATGCTTTGGTAACTTGTATGAACAAGATGAATAATGCACGGGCAGCACTATGGTCTAAACCACGAGCCTCTTGGGCTTGCCGATCGTAAGGTCGGCAGTTTGAATCTGTGCAATGGGGTGAGCTCCCGTTGCTCTGTCCCAGCTCCTGCCAACCTAGCAGTCTGAAAGCATACCAGCGGGAGGAGATAAATAGGTATCACTGAGGCAGAAAGGTAAATCGCGTTTCCATGCACTCTGGCATTTGTCATGGTGCTCCATGCACCAGAAACGGTTTAGTCATGCTGGCCACATGACCTGGAAAAGCTGTAAGTGGAGATGAGCGCCACACCCAATAGTCAAATTTGACTGGACTTAACCATCCAGGGATCCTTTACTTTTTACTCTTTACCACACACACACACACACACACACACACACCATCTCTCACACACAAACTTTCAGTCTTTCACTCACACCTGCATGCACAGAATCTCTCCCCTTCTCCTCACTCTCTTTCCAGTAGCGTTTTACCCCCTGAATTTCCTTCCATTGGATTCATTGAGGTGAAATTATTTACACTTACTCCAGACTGATGTCTGGAGTGAGCCTGGGTGGGCCTAATCCTGTCACCACTTCAAAGAAGGCAGGGAGCTTGGATTCAGCACATCAAAGGCTGCTTATGCCCTGCTTCCCCTTCCTCCTTGGAATGCTCCATTTTTGTGTTTAATACCAGTCCACAGAGCTTTCCACAAGCACGGTGAGGGCCCCTGTGGGAGAGGTAGCTTTTCTCCTTTGCATGGAGGCACCTCCATGCACTCCCAATCTTCTCCAGCCGGTAGATCGGCATAGCCTAGGGGACAACAATCAATATAAGCATACAGACTTAGGAAGCCGCTTATACTGAGTGAGTCATATTGTTGGTCCATCAAGCTCAGTATTGTTTATACTGACTGGGAGTGGCTCTCCAGGATTTCAGACAAGGGTCTCTCCCAATCTTATTAAGGAGATGCTAGCGATTGAACCTGGGACCTTCTGCAAGCAAAACAGGATGCTTTCCCACTGAGCTACAGCCCTTCCCTATTTCACTTTGATGTGCAACACAGTGTTCTTTCCTTGTAATTCTATATCATATCTGAGGAGTTCTGTAGCTTGCCCATCTTTCAGATTATTAATTTTGACCTTGACTTGAGTTTAAACTATTGTTGGAATTGCAAATGAGCTCATGTTACAAGCTCCATGTTGAGGCACTGTCCCCAGGGCGAAGAAATTCTGTTAAATGCCAATGCTACAGTTTATACTGCATTGTATATAATTAGGATTCCAAGGAACACTGTCTCCCAGGTTGGTACAAAAAGTTTTCTTTTCCTAACCCTTTCCTAAGATTTAGTTACATGACAGCATATAATCTTTCCAAATTAATTCAGTGTTATCCTTTGCCTATTAGTGCAATAATAGCCTAAATCTAATGCTTTTTGTTTTGATCACCAAGGCTTTATCTCAAATGATTTGAAAGATTTTCCTCCAATTTAATTAGACTGCAAACAAAATCAAGTTTTGTATGGTAAAAGTATTTCCATAAGGCTGCCTTCTGCAGCCTCTATTGACAACAATCCACTATGCAATGTAGTGCCCTTCAGATGTTGCTGTACTATAAACTATAACTATATAACAACTGTAACTCCTATTTTTCTAGAAAAAGAGTTGCCAGAGCTCACAATGAACTTCTCCCTTCTTCTCTTAGAATGGCAATGGCACCCACCCGAGCTGAGCTCCAGTGAGTTCCGGCTGGAAAACACCCCCTGTTTCTATCATTATTATTGTCTCTGCTGGTTGGGGCTGATGAGGGTTGGAGTCCCACCAACATCTGGACAGCTCTGTTTTGGCTATCCCTGGAATAGAGGCTCTCCTATGATGAATTATGCTGAGTGATGACGACTGTCCCTAGATCATTCAGAGAGCTTTAAGTCTGGGAGTGGGATTTGCTCCTAGGTCTCTCTACTCTGACACATAATCCATTGCACTATACTGACTCTCATTGTGGAAGTTGAAAATGTGGTCCACAGCAGGATTTCTCAAACATTTCTGGACTCCCTCTACTTTTTGACCATATTCTTCTTTACTGGCCTCCTCACCTAAAGAACCAGCCACCTGGTTTTCAGGTAAGGGTACTGTTTGTACATGTAGTGCAATGTTGCATGTGAGGATCTGTGGTCCTGCAGACCAGTCCAGTACTGGTTCACAAAGAGGACTGGAACCAAGTACCCATTCCTGGACTATTTTCTTTCTTTCAAAAAGGAAGAGCAGGAATGGCCATTGAGAATTGTGTCGCTCCCACAAATACATGAAAATCAATGAGGATTATTTCAAGGTCAGCTTAAGACATTTTGCTGCCTTGCGAAGGCCAAATCTCCTCTACCAATTCTATGTACAGAAACTAGACTAGACTGGCATTTCAAACACTGGTGATAGTGTCCTTCTCCTCATCTGTGGTCAGTAGCCTGACTTTGAGGATGCAGAGCAGGGCCAGTCTGATCCTTTCCTTAATCTTCTCCTACAACAGTAATGTTTCTACCAATGGTAATAAGAAATTACTGTCCCCAGATGGGGTAACCTTGCCAACAGACCAGGCAGAAACTGAGGCTGGTGGATCCCTCTTCTCTTCCTATGCTGAATTGTGGGGAGCTGGTTTATAACTAGTCAGAGCATTGAAGATTCTAGTTCAGTATTGCCTACATTGACTACATTGACTCTAGGGCTTCAGAAGGCTGTTTCTTTCCAGTCTTGACTGTTGATGCTAGGGACTGAACCTGAGATCTTCTGCAGATGCTCTGTCACTGAGCTACGGCCCTTTCCCATAATGTGGCTTCTTCTGCAGCAGTCGGCGCAGCAATGGTGGGATTGCAGCAGGAAATAATTCTTCTGCCGCACCCAGTTTTCTCTATTATCATTGGCATTTCTCAGCCATAGTTGCACTCCCCACAAGGCAAATTGTTAACACTGTTAATTTAAATGAGGGCTACTCTGGACTTTCTGAGGAACAGAAAATGAGATATACTGAGGTGTCCTCCTTCTGACATATCTGCACACCTTTAGAAACAGCCAAACCAAGTTAAAGCAAGAAAATACATTGTTGTTTTGGGTTGCTTTTATTGTTTGTGTGTGTGTAATTTTTATTAATTTTTTGAATTTTTTACAATTTGAAATAAACATTTTACCAACTTACTGATATCCAGTGACTTCCCTTCTTCTCTTTCCATGGTTCATTTATATATCTTCCATTCCTGCATATTTTACTATAACCATTCAAGTTAGTTTTCGGTTTTTACACCATTCAGACATTAATCACACTGTTGAATTTATCTTAATGCTGCCAGCATTTTCAGTTATGCGCAATTATTTTCCATATATTCAATAAATGTTTTCCACTCTTCTTTAAATATATGTTCTTCTTGCTCTCTTATTCTATGGGTTAAACCTGCAAGTTCTGCATATTCTAACATCTTAAATTGCCAATCCTCTTTGTCTAGGACCTCGCTCATTTTCCATTTGGGGGCTAACAAAACACAGGCCGCTGTTGTTGCATACATAAATAGCCTTTTCCGATGCCTAGGAATTTCTGTCTGGGTTATTCCCAATAAAAAGGACTCTGGTATTTTTGGGAAGGTAATTTTAAACATTCCCCCCCAACTCATTTGGGTTGCTTTTATTTTGAAACAGGAGCAAGGGGTGGGTGGGTGTTACTCTGACTATAGAGAGAATCCATATTGACAGCAGTGACATATTCAAAACTGTCTATTTTCCAGCCTGCCAAAAATGTATGGGCATTTGATGAAAAAATTACAAATGTCCATGAAATGAGCCAGTTCTTTCTGAGAGTGAACCACACTGAGTTCCGCATATATAAATGTTCTCCCTACTAGTCACAGCAGTTCATCAGGCGTGAAAGTGTGATAAAGGGTAAGGCAAAAGGAAGTAGGGAGAGGGGAAAAGAGAAAATTATTATGGCATTTATCAGTAATTTGTCTGATCTTGAGAGGCTGTGCAGATGGATATGCAGATGTGTGGAGGCAGAAGATTATCTTTCCATCATCTGGAGCAATCTCCAGAGTAGCTAGTAATTTCCGACAGGGGTTAGGGAGCGCAGTTATGAGCCTGTCCTTTCTAAGTTGTTAGTGACATCAGGAGAGGAAATAAAACAAAAATGCTCCTAGCAAATATATACATTTTTAGATTGGCTGTCTCTATGAGAGTAATTTAGATTTGCATTCATTTTCACCTACACTGGGCGTTGTTTCCATCATAAGCACTTTTTCAGCAGAATATTGTGAACTGGTTATTATCGGCACAATGTACTATGCGGAAAGGCAGCTGTCTGTTCAATTTCACTGTCGTCAATTTAGTCCTGATATAAGTCATTTATTTCCATGGAGGTTCATTGATTCGGCAGCATTTTTCTTTCAAAATCATAGCTTCAAAGACTGAAGCTAGAGCAGTTCTATGAGGGTGTCAGGTTACTGAATTTTGCTCCGTTTCAGGAAAGTTTCATGGCGTACCTCTTAATTTATTTGTGAAGTTTTAAAAAAATATCTTTATTTTCCTATGTACTCTGATGAGGAGCGATCTAACTTATTTCAGGTAGAGACAACATTCAAAGGAAGAAGTGGATTTGCAAAGTGAACTTTGCTTGAGAGCAGAAGTCTTTATCAGCATGGTCTTCTTCATTTGTGACACATTGGAGAGCATGGAAACAGATTGCACTTCAGCCAGTAACTGCATTGCTTGTATTGGATGAATGTTTGATTTCAACTGGAAGAAGAGAAGAACCAGACCTCCTTGATTGTATGGGAAATTTGGGGGTGGTTTTACTAGTGAGCAAAGGGCTTCCTGTCAAGGAACAAAAATACACTAAAGAAGCAAATATAGTCAGGCTCATTTAGAGACATTGTTAATGGCTTGTTTTTCATACAGAGGAAGTAGAACTTTTAAAACCCTACTTTTAAAAATGTTTATTTACAAACTGACAATTTATATTCCCAAAGAGCGACTGAAAAAGGAATATTTTTTCCAGGATAGTCCAGAACACTCATGTAAGTGGGTGGACTGATGACGATATATGTGCAACTTAATCTCATTCTCTCTCTCTCTCTCTCACACACACACAAGTGCACAGAAGGCACCATATGGCCTGGTGTTTTTCAGGCTTCTGTGATCAAGACTATCATGCCTTAGGCTGTAATCCTAAACCCACTTACCTGTGAGTATGTACCACTGAATACAGTAAGATTTACTTCTGAGTACACATGGTTAGGATTTCACTGCTAGTCAATCATAAGGTTTATTCATTAGACCAGATGTCTTCAAGATGCTGTTCTGATTTAGTTTTCATAGATATGTCACCTCTGTTTAGCTCTTTGTGTTAATATACATATAGGCTTTGTAGGTAGGAACTCTCTTCTGACTGCAATATAACCACCAACCAAGGGCCCAGAATGCTTGCTTTCATTCTGACTCTCAACCATCTCTGGTCTGATTACCATCTTGAGCATCTATGTTCCCAATATGTGCTCTGACATACAAACCAAGGATCGGTTCTATGAGGAACTAGCCCAGGCTGTCAGGAGGGTCCCAGACCATGAACACCAATTCCTGTTGGGAATTGGGAATGCTCATCACAAATGGAACAACTTCATAGGACACTTTGGAATTAGCAAAATGAATAAGAATAGACAAAATCTACTCTAACTGCGCTCATGTCACAGCCTCTGCATAACAAACATGTTCTCTACAAAGGCACAACAGGAAGTGTCCTGGAGAAATCCAAGTTCAGGCCACGGGCACCAGATAGACTTGAATGTTACGAGATGGTCAGCGCTGTGTGTTGACAACTGCAACATAGATCACTATGACAATTAGAGACCACTCTCTAATTGTGAACAAGACCCTTCTTGGTGCTCTTTAGTTCTCTGGTTCTTCTTTGAACCTCAACCTTAGCGTTGGCATCAGCACAACTGGATGTCTTCATCTGCCCCAGCTGCAACAAAGCATGTCTCTACTGTATAGGTCTCCACAGC